TCAGCCTGGAGAAGAGGAGGCTGAGGGGAGCCCTCATCGCTCTCTGCAACTGCCTGAAAGGAGGCTGGAGCCAGGGGGGTCGGTCTCTTCTCCCCAGGAACAAGCGATGGGACGAGAGGGAACAGCCTCAAGCTGCGCCAGGGCAGGTTTGGGTTGGGTATTAGGAACAATCCCTTCCCAGAAAGGGCTGTCAGGCCCTGGCCCAGGCTGCCCAGGGCAGTGGAGCAATCACAGTCCCTGGAAGTGTTCAAAAAACGTGTGGATGTGGTACTTAGGGACGTGGTTTAGAGATGGGCCAGGCAGTTGGGTTAACGGTTGGACTCGATGATCTCAGAGGTCCTTTCCAACCTTAACAGTCCTATGATTCTATGATTCCATGATAAAATAGGGCCAAAATTATCCTCAAATTCGTATGCCGAATGTTTCAGCCACTTAGGGGGAGAATAACTTGGGTCTGGTGTCACAGAAACAAAAGCACCCTCAGAAGCCTTCATTTAGTGAAGGTACGTAAGAGAGTTATGTTTCCTATATTATTTCTCACATTGCTTCAACTATTAAACAGAAGGGCCATTAAGCACTAAAATCTACCGAAATCAGGTTTCAGTTTTGTTTTCCACTTCTTTAACTAAAGACTCGAGTAGGCCTGTTAGAGACCATGTGCTTCTCTGTGTTATACCAATATTTTGCATTTTCCCTTGTGCCTTTCTTGCAGAAAATTCCACGCGTCTTCAGTTAAGCCACAGGACAAGTATATAACTCTGCGTAACAGATAATTATTATTTTATCCGCTGTACTGGGTAAAACCAAGGCAAGGCAATAACCACTTCAGAGAGAAAATAGTTCACAGATGGAAATAAGTAATGAAAAATAGATTATAAACTGTAAGTTAGAGTCCACCTCTGAATTTATGGCTTGCAAACGATACATTTACTTTGCTACAGAAATTATAAGATTAAAAGGGGGACCTCAGCAGAGGCGGGTGATCTGACCCTGCCTTCTACAACTGACGGACAGACAGGTCACCTTCCAGCTAATATCTTCTTCACTCCCATTTAATAAATTATTCTGTTCAGATAATGGGCCTGATCCTCTGCCGATATGAATGCCACTTTGTTAACTGGTGCACCTCTGCCCTGCGCAAGTTTTTTGACACGCTCATCCCGTTAACATTGCCGACCTCAGGTTTCAACGGGGAAAAGCTGAGAACTTGAGGCAACTCGAGGTTCCGCGCAAAGGAGCCAACTGTGAGCTGGATTCTGGGCAGGGCTCAAGCACCAGGCGTTACCTTCTGAAGAGCAGCAACAGCAGCAAAGTCATTTTTGTCTATCAGAGCGTACTTGCTTCGTAATCTGGCCTCCACTTCGTGCTCCTGTTGACTGGGGGAGAAAACAGCCCCTTACCATTGTGTTCAAGGAGGACTCTTTCAGATGTCAAAACCCGTAATATCTGCCAAGATCCGATTTCCAAAGAAAGCCAGCTTGTACCTGTGATCTCATTCCCAAACACCCCACCTCACTCCTATTCTTCCCCATAACCATTGTAATCGTTTTCCATTCTCCTCTTCCTTTCTTTTTCTACAATATCCCTTCAGGCCTCTTAGATATGGAAGCTTTTTGATGGCTATTCTAATACTCAGCGTAACCTTTTAATGGTTCAGATCACATAATATTACCCGTGTTCAGTTCCATCACCTTACTTTAACCTAATGATTTTCAAATTGAGTGATTTTTCACTGAAAGGGAACAAGTAAAGCATTGTCAGCAGGCTTAAATACACTACACAAGACTGAAAATCATTGGAGAATCTGGAAGTTAAAAAAGACTAAAGCCCACTGTTTCAGAACAATAAAAGGAGCCCCGAGTTAATAATAATCACGCAAAATTTTACCATGAAACCCATTTTGGTCTTGGGTCCCAGCAAAGTCTGACTGCCCAGCCTAATGGCGTACACGGACACTCGCGTTCAACACAAGTTTCTCGAGGGCGGGCAGATTTTCTACGGCAATATCCCAACGTCACTCTTGTGAGTAGCAACCTCTGCTGCCTAGCCAGACCATTGCTGCAAAGGTTGGTGGGGCAGGGAGTGCGGGGGTTGCCCTCAGACCCTTATTCTTCTTTGTTCTCTTCTATTTCATGACATGGAAGCTGCTTGTCCTCATTTTTAGGATTTTATTCCAGCCTGTCATTCATCTTCCCTCTTTCAGCCCAAAAAACAACTTTCATCATCCGCTGGTGACACTTTCAAATAGCCACTTTCACGGGTTCTCCCATCCCACACCACACACACACCGGAGATTGCCTCCCTGGAAATAGCCACACAGCTTTCTTATCATGCTCCTCCAAACCGCTTTATGAGCTTCCTTTACCATGATCTCTAAAAACAAAGTAAATCTGATGGCTTTTAGACGCTGGTGTGGTGAGACCCCTTCCTATCATCTCATCCTAGAGAGTTCCATTTTTCTTTTGCAGACTGCCTTGCACCACGGAGACATGCTCCATGATATGATCCATAAATTGTGCAGGGATCCTGCACAATTTATGCTCAGTGATGGTTTATCTGCCGAGCAGACTTTTTAACCAGTGAAGTTTACCATCAAGAGCCCTTGCACATGACTCATGGGCACTGGAAGGTTAGAGGCAATAGTCTTCTTGTGCAAAGGCCAGCGGAATTTGTCCAGAATTGTGTTTTCGGTTACAAGTTATTTCCTCTTCTTCATAATGATTCTTCACCAACGTCATGGTAAGTGTGACAGGACAGGTAAAAGCTCAGTGGAATTTCTAAACCTTACTGTGAAATGCATCAGCCTCAGATATCTTACCTTACAATCAGTTTGAACTGCTTAAACACCTCCTGGACTTGCCTGATGTTCACTATCTGAGGAAGAGAGGTATACAGTGAAGACACGGGTAAGCATTTCTCTGCCGTGGTCAGCTGTACTGATTCCAATATTTCAGGTTGTGAGGGCTCTGCTTGCCACTTGCTGGGTATCCACACTGAAGGAGGGTTACCTTTATCCTGCCCTGGAGAGTCAGGCTGGAGGTGGATACACTGCTCGCTCCGAGGAGATTTTTAAAGAGAGAGGAATCTGATAGACTGGTAAAGTCCATGGAGCGCACGGCTACCAAGGTAATGAATTATTTACAATAATTTTACAAATGAAATAGATGGCATCTACTGACCTTGCAGATTATGATGCTACTTCTCTTTTCACTACTCTCCAAGACTGCCTGAGTACCTGGAACTGCCAGAGCACTAGCTTTACTCCTTTAACCCATGATAACAAATCAGTGCAGTCGAGCCATGCTATTATCTCTGTTTTGGAGACGATGAGCAGAGGCACGGATGGATAAGTAACGGGCAGTCTGTAGCTGAGCAGGAATCCGCACTCAGCCCTCCCGAGGTCCGAGAGACTGGACCAAGCTATGAAATGCACTCTCTCTGTTCTCGACCCTCTCTAGAAGATTCCCCAGTGCCACTGAAGGCATCCTTCCCCGTGTGAAACTCCTTCATCCTTCTCTACCTTCCCTGCTCCGCACCCACCCACATCACATTCTGCAGGTCGGGTAAAACACACCTTCACGTAAGCCCTTCTTCCGCTCCACTCCCGACTGCTGGAGGGAGCAAACAGGGACTCCGAGAGGAAATAACGATTACATTAAATGAGAGGGAGTGTCTCAAGTGTTTCGTTTCAACTCAAGGGAAAATAGTCTTCCAGCATCTTCTGCACTGTTGTCACAGTGGCTTCTCTTCACAACCAAACAAAACCTTACAGTAACTCCGCGTGCGCATTTACGACTTTCATTTTCTTATATTTTCGTTGTTTTCCTGTTTGCCCCCCCAGGGATATTTGTGTACGCAGGACTTTTGCTGTTTCTTTTCGCAATCATTTTGCAGCCAATGTGTAGTTTCAAGTTGAGAAACCCTGCCCTAATGAACCTGTCTCTAAGACTGGACATATTTTGGCAATACACCTTGCAAAGATTTAGTTTGACATTGGCAGGACAAAATTTTGACATTCATTCTTTAAAGAAGTTCTAAATAAACCGATTCAAAGGGTTTCAGGGCTGAGGAAAAGTCTCCTCAAGCTTCCAAAAAAGCAAAAATGGTATGAAAACAAGGAGACGGTCCTTAACACGCAAAAAAATTAAATGACAATTCTGTAGCACTTCTTGGGTGAAAGACAGCCTCTTCAGAAGACATCGTTCTGTCTTGGAGTAAAATGGGATGGGAACAGTATGTAAGTCCTTCTCCACTGGAAAGCTACTTACATCAATTTCATCAATGGCTCCTTTTAGGTATTTATGGACTTGAGACTTAATCTCTGCCATCTGGGTGTCAGTCAGAGGGTCATAAGTCACCAAAGAACGATTTACCTATGAAAAAAGGTGAACAACTGAGCGTCGGGGAATTACAAAAAGCTAAGCAAGTGCCAGCCTGGCGAACACCTGACATTGCTCTGCTCTGCCCAGGGAAGCCTTATGTTTAATTTCTGATTGCGACTTCTCATGCTCTCAGTTGACAGGACATGGGATGTGGGAGCATGCTGAAATCAATGCGCTCCCCTCCATATTTCAATCAAATAAGAGAAGGGCTTCAAGAGTCTGAAAAAAGCATCTACAGCGGATGGGGACTGAAGCTACAACACAGTCTGACTGCATGGGATCTTTAGAGCTTTGCCTAAACCCAGAAAGAAAGTGCTGGAAGCAGAAGGAAGTGGTTGAGTCCCCACCTCTGGAGGGATTTAAAAGCCGGGGAGATGTGGTGCTTGGGGACATGGTTTAGTGGTGGCCTTGGCAGCGCTGGGTTAACGGTTGGACTTGCTGATCTTAAGGGTCTTTTCCAACCTGAACAATTCTATGATTCTATGATAAGGATGAATACAGTCGCACTGGACGCTGAGTTAACTGATCCTGCTGCAAAACAAAGATCACGACAAAGCCTTAACTAGGTCCCGTCTAAGATGGTGCACCCTATTCCTTACCAAGCTGTCATGCATGGCCAGCTCCTGCTTCAGAAGAACAATCTCCTTCTCCAAAGCCTTCACTGTCCCCTAACAGGAAAACAAAAGGGTGAGCAAATGACCAAATGCTACTGGAGGAAAAACTGCTGAGAAGCAGCGTTCAAGTGGCTGCTAGGGAACATCGCGGCTGTGCACCAGCTCCTCCCGGGTTTGCACCGGTGAAGTCGTGAGTCTGGAAATCACTTTGCCTTTGATTAGCTTCCAACAGGACAGCTTCTGTGGTGTCCCGGGTGTGCCGCCTGCAGAGGCAGCCCAAGCCATCAAAAGAAGGGCGACCTGTTGTTTAATCTGGTGTTTTCCTGATCTGGTGCTGTAGGGGCCATCAGGTTCTGGACGACGAGCTATATCTTGAAAGCAAAGACGTACACAGGTTTCCACTCTGACCCTTATTGAACTCAGTAGGAGTTCTGACATTAACTTTAATAGAGCAGGGAGTCTCCTGTGGTGTATTTGATTGAATTTCTCCATAATGTGGAATATCTTCAAGCATTCACTACTTAGAATGTGTTTCCAGAAGGGTACGGGGACACAAATCTCCTTGGGATTCAGTGAGAACTGGATACTGAGCTGCTTTTTAAGTGACCTGTAGAGCATGAAAGCGCAATAGCTTCCTTAAAAGCTACTCCTTTGGCTACTCTTTTCCACTCCGCACATCTCAACAAAAATGAAAGGGACTGAAGAGGAAAAGACAGTTTGTTGCACAGCTGCTTCTGGAAGCTGTTGGAGGAAACTCCCCAGCTGCTTCTCTGCTTGCCAGTGAGATCAGACCATGAAATACAGCGGGGCTCTCGCACGCCACATGTGTTACAGATCAGATAATGCTAAACTTGTTCTTTGGGCCATCAGTATTTCATCGAGCATTTACTGCTGCCCGCTCTGTTTCAGCTGTGAAAGTGCGCTCAGGCCATCTAAAATACTACAATCGTTCCCTTTAAATTATTTCCTTGTTTAAACAAGTCTCGTAATTGTGGCAAAAATGTTATGTTACCAGCAGCAATGGGGATAACGCTGTGTAAAGCTGCAGGTAGGACGGGAGAGGATTTCCCCACACACCAGGGGAGTAGTCCGCAACGTAAGAGCTCTGTTAAGAGGTGAATCTTATCAGAAAAATTAAGGACTCCTGCGTATGCAGTTGAAAGAATTACCACGTGTCGGGGAAGATGTGGCCGTCTGCATGACTGTACCCTGTAGCATATTCAAGGTAACTGTAATTAAATACCAACAAAAAAAGGTTAATACTAAACCATTTTATCATGTGCTTAAATTCACTAAGCGTCAGCTTGGCTGCTGAGTGGTAATTCATTAAACTACTGAATTTCCCCTCTGGTTTTTAAGGTGATTATCCTAAATATCAATGAACCTGAGAAAATACGCCTTCTTCCATTCCCCTTCTCTACATACCTCTCGGTCGTATGTCTCATTGATGACTGGCTCTGTCGTGATCCATTTCATTCTGGTAGCAAAACGAAGAGAAGACAACTGAAAAACATGGGTTTTAAGTAACTGAGAGAGATACTGGCAAGGATATAATTTTCATAATCTGTTACTACTTAATCATAACAGATCCCAGAACACAGAAATACAAAAGCTGTTTAACTGCAGGGAGCGGCGTAGGATTCCTCATTCCAGGAGCGTATCTTCCAGTGCTCTCTGGCTTCTGTGTGATGAGCCAGCTTCAGGCGACGTCTTTGCCTTCGCCGTTCTGCGTGTGGACAGCTCTTCGTGTACCAGAGCTGCGATCGCAAAAATACCCACTCCCATTTCTGATCAAAATAACACATCCTAAAAACTCCGCATCACACATTGATGGCCTTCCAGCTTAATTCCTGCAATTGCGGTATCTCAAGATAAGCCCCTGCAGCCTGAAAATCCTCCTCTTGATGCCAAGTATAGCAGCTATTTCCTCCGTAATATGAGATGTCTCTAGGCGCTATCAGAACACAGGGAGGAGATGAGGAAAACAACGCTCTGCCTTGAAGACAACCGCGTAACAGGTGTCTGTGTTTACATTTTTTTGCGACGTAAAACTTTCTCGGCAAGGAACAAAGCGATTCCCTCCTCTGTGTTACAGATGCGGTTAAGTTGATCCAGTTCACACCGTGCGACTTTCACCAATTTCGTTATTTCACAGGTTAAAAAACCTTATTGTTAGGAGATTGCTCCCGATTCCTGAACCAGCAGAAAGACAGTTCAGCTCTGATGTGAACTGGTGCGATTCCATCGACCTGACTACGTGACGGACCGTTCAAACACATTCGTTGAGTTGAACCAACAACAATAATCAACACTATCCAGTGGGCTTAGATTTTAGCTGCTTGTGCCCGCTCTATTTCAAGCTCTCATTTTCCCCCACCCCGGGCCAGTTACCACTCGACCGTCTGCATCACAAAGCAGATTGGGAGAGCAATCTGTTTTCCGAGCCGTTGCGATAAGATGAGCTGTCCAATGTTTGCGATGAATTAGGCAGGATGTTTCTCTGGGCCTCCTGCCATAGCCCTCCAGAGATTATTCTTTAAACCGAGCTATGGCCAATTACAACAGTAGCAGGAACAAGACTTTAATTCTGCAGAAATCAGTTCAACTTACAGTCTCCTCCACATGCACAGCTTCCCCACAGATATTTGCCACGAGGACGGTATTGCAGTTTCCCCCTGGGAAAAAAAAAAAAAAAATAAAAAAAGCAAGTAATATAATTTGGGTTTTTTTGTTGTTTCCGTTTCTGGAATGGATTATATTATGTGCTGACTAAAATAGAGAAAAAGAAGCAACAAAGAATGCAGCCAGTTTGTAACTGTCCCTCTAAAGTTCCCATGGGTACAGAAACACAGTGGCACAGAATGACTTGAGAATAAAGGTAAAATGTGTTTCTCGATGCAGTAAGAAGATGGGAATACAAACTGTGAAAGCCTGAAACTGGGAAAACCAGAGCAGAGGATTTTAAAAGCCCTTGGCTTAAATCTAATAGCGGGGAACCTGGCAGGCCACAGTCCCTGCCTTTCTGAAAAGCGACATGAGTCTTGTGCTCGGAACGCCTCGGACATCACTCTCATTTCCGATGCCTTCGGTTACGCCGCACAAACGTCTACAGCCTGTTTCCAGCTGCTTTCTCCTCCTGTCTCTCCTGCCTGCGTTCCAAGAGCACGAGCCTTTCCTGGGGATTCACGATGCACCACAGCTTTGGGTTTATCATCTGTAGCCTGGTGCTCAAGCAGGAGCATCTGAAAAGGCCTGTAGCATGCTGGGGG